ACGTTCTCCTGACAGTGAGATATAGAGAGTTTGACAAGGATCGGCGAGTGGGCGAGTAGGCGAGTTGGGGAGGCATTATAGGCGCGTCCTGTCCCTAAAGGCTTTGGTTTTGATCTACATGAGCTGTAATCTTCAGGAGGTCTGGTTGGTAATTTCTGGGTCATAATTCTATGTTTAGTTCACAAGAAGATCGATAAAGCTAAGGTGATGTGTGTGTGTGTGTGTGTGTGTGTGTGTGTGTGTGTGTGTGTGTGTGTGTGTGTGTGTGTGTAGAACGAGCCTAACGGGGAGAGATGAGAATGACTGATGGGTTTTCCTGAGATGACCTGATCCTTCACGCTGCTGGCTTTCTGGACATGACAGCGACCTTTCTGATTTATCTTCTGTCTGCTACCAAACTGGATAATAGAGCCATTGGTGCCACAAATCCTTTTCTACCCAGAAAAAGTGAGATAGCTTTTAAGATAATAGCAACCTCGAGGCTGTTAACACTGGAGAGAGAGAGAGAGAGAGAGAGAGAGAGAGAGAGAGAGAGAGAGAGAGAGAGAGAGAGAGAGAGAGAGAGAGAGTATTTAACCGCCCAGTTTTAGTGTGTGATTTTCCCCCAGTAAAAAGATTAGTTAGGGAGGTAAATAAAAGGCAGGGAATAAATGACAGGCGATAAACATAAAACTAAAAGTAATTCTTCCTCTTTCTCTCTCTCTATCTCTCTCTATCTCTCTCCTTCGTTTGGTTTACCCTCTCACCCCTCCTCCTCTCTTCCAGTCTTACCCCTCCACCTCCCCCGCACCTGCACCCCCCCCCAGGTGCTTCAGGTAGGAGATGAATATGATGTGGGACGCTGGTAGGCCTAAGGCTGATAACGTGGAGAGGCTCTTAAGAGTTTATATGGTGAGGCCAGGGTAAGAGAGAGAGAGAGAGAGAGAGAGAGAGAGAGAGAGAGAGAGAGAGGCAATATAAGCGAGTGTAAGGGAGTATAACCGATTATAAGAGAGTATAAGGAAGAAAGGGGAGTTTAAAGTAGTATAAGTGAGAAAAAGGGAGTATAAGTGAGTATAAGGGAGTACATGGGAGTATAAGGGAGTATAGGCGAGTATAAGGGAGTACAGGGGAGTATAAGTGAGTATAGGCGAGTATAAGGGAGTACAGGGGAGTATAAGTGAGTAAGGCGAGTATAAGGGAGTACAGGGGAGTATAAGTGAGTATAGGCGAGTATAAGGGAGTACATGGGAGTATAAGTGAGTATAGGCGAGTATAAGGGAGTACAGGGGAGTATAAGTGAGTATAGGCGAGTATAAGGGAGTAAAAGAGACTATAAATACAATTGAATATAAGCAAGAATAAGGTTATATAAGCGAGTAAAGGGAAGTTTAAAGCAATATAAGCCAGTATAAGGGAGTATAAGGCAATATAAGGGAGTATAAGGCAATATAAGGGAATTGTTTACATACCAAGGTAAGGGCGCCGGTCAGGGGGTGATGGGCAACAGTCACTGCTGCCAGAGTCCCTTCGTCCTGATGTGGCACTCCTAGCTCCTGGCCCTGTGCCACGGATAAGGGAGACCTCATTAATAATAGAGGTGATTTATGGTGATTTATGGTGATTAATGACAGACCTAATTAAAAACAGGGTTGATTTATGGTGATTTATAGTGATTTCGGGTGATTTAATGATAGACCTCTTTAATAACAAGGGGTGATTTATGGTGATTTAGGGTGATTTATGATAGACCTCTTTAATAACAGGGGTGATTTATGGTGATTTCGGGTGATTTATGATAGACCTCTTTAATAACAGGGGTGATTTATGGTGATTTATGATAGACCTAATTAATAACAGAGGTGATTTATGGTGATTTATGATAGACCTAATTAATAACAGAGGTGATTTATGGTGATTTATGGTGATTTATGATAGACCTAATTAATAACAGAGGTGATTTAGGGTGATTTATGATAGACCTAATTAATAACAGAGGTGATTTAGGGTGATTTAGGGTGATAACAATACAATATAAACATGATCTTATATATAGACAGACAGGTGTACAGTATATGTAGACAGAATGATACAGACAGACAGAAATATATAGACAGGGATATATAAACAGACACAGAACCCCCTTATACACAGACAGAACCCCCCTAACAGACAGAACCCCCTAACAGACAGAAACCCCCTAACAGACAGAAACCCCCCTAACAGACAGAACCCCCCTAACAGACAGGCATATATAAAGACAGACAGTCCCCCCTCCCTTCCCTATTAGACAGGTAGATAACGGGACAGTAACTTACATATTGCGTAGGTGTGACCGTAACGCCGCCCAAATCGTCACGGTCGGCGTAGAAGAGTGGGACACGACGGGCTAAGTCCAGGTTAGGTCGTAGGTTAAGGATCCTAGTCGATCCCAGCGCCCGTAGATGGACCGTCCGTATCGCCTCCCCGTCCGTACTCCGCTTCAAACGCGACCGTAACCGCGCCACGTCATATTCCGGCACTGAGGAGAGAAGATTACGGTTAGGATGACCTGATCTAACCTTTAGTGATCTTGATATAACGTTAACTAAGCTGGATATCATTTTAACAGGGTCTTGATTACAATATAAATTGAATTGACCTTTAATTAAGCTAACCTGGTAAAAATTTAAGTTTAACTAACCTTGTTTTAAGCTTAATTGACCTTGAGATAATATATAGTATATTGATAAATTTTTGTGATAATTAAAAAAAACTAAAATTAATATGACTTCACAAGACATACTCGTACACACATATACACACACACATACAAGTACATATATATACACAGATTCACATATAAATAATACACCAATTAATTGTATTTCTTTATGTAAATATCCCGACATTAGCGAGAAAATTGCCTACACACGTCACCTTGGGGGCGGGGGGGGGAGTGGGGGGGGAGCCTTCAGTGACAGAAAGCGACTCGAGCTTTAGGAGGAACTTAATTATTTCTCTCTTCTTGCTGGGACAGAAAAATTAACGGGATTTATAGCAACAAGTCTCGTCCCATCTGGTAGAACAGCTAAGGTTAAATAATCCAGAAATCAACCTTCAGGAATTCAGGAGGAAGCGTTTTGGGGGTCAGCAACGCAGGTAAAGTTAGGTCAGTGAAGGTCACCTAATGTTAGCTGTATATTTGAATACCAGGAAGTTATCTAAGGTTATAAGAGGTCACGCAAGGGTTTATCATCTGGAAATAAAGTGAGGTCATGCGAAGTCAACATCACTTGGATGGGCTTTCAGGAAGTCATGAGGGGTCAGAATCCCACCTTCAGGGACTAAGGTCACGTCAATAAGGAATAACTTCACAAAAATACACATTTAGGGGGATATTTCAGGGCATAGGAGGTCACCTACACCAGGAACCACCTTCAGGAGATAAGATGACGGCACGAGAGGTCAACAACAATAAGTTCATTAGAGGTCACCCACACCTGGATCCGCCTTCAGGGAGTAAGGTCAGGTCAAATGAGGCCAATCCCAACAAGGCTCCACCTTCAGTAGTCGAGGCACAGCAGGAGTGGGTTGATGGGTCATCGTGTAGGCGAGGGATGGCTCTCACCTGCCCCCCAGACACGGTACACAACCCACCTGCTCCCTCATTACCGTCCCCTCCTCCTGCATCGCCACAAGCCTTCCCTCCCTCCCTCCCTCTCCCCCATGTTCCTTCTTCCTCCTTCCACATCCCCCCCCTTCTAACTCTCTCTTCTTTCTATGTCACCTCCTACTACATCCCCATAATCCTCCCTCCCTTCCCTCTCTCTCCTCTGTACTCTGCTTCTGGCTGTTGCTATGCTATGCACCCTGAGGTTACTTATGCTATGTACCAATGTTAATTATTCCATGTTTTTTAATTTCCACGTTTCATTCCTAGTTCCCCCTCTTCCCAAATCATCCCGTCCCTCCTAGAGATATAACGAGTACATTTATCCTCATATCTGATGCTAATTCGCCTGATGATGCCCTGAGGATAATGCCCACAGGTTAGGTTAGGTTAGGTAGTGTGGTGCTGTGTGGACCTCGTCTCCCGCTGTGAGTCTGAGATTTAGTTGTTGTGTGTGGACGATAGTGCTGCCAGAGTCCCCCAGCCTGTTTTGTACCACTAGCGGAGGTCCACAGCCTGTTCTATGTCACCAGCCGAGGTCCTCAGCCTGCTATGTGTCACCAGCCGAGGTCCTCAGCCTGTCTCATCACCAGCCGAGGCCCTCAGCCTGTCTCATCACCAGCCGAGGTCCCCACCCTGTTCTGTACCACTAGCGGAGGTCACCAGCCGAGGTCCTCAGCCTGTCTCATCACCAGCCGAGGCCCTCAGCCTGTCCCATCACCAGCCGAGGAGGTCTCAGTTTTGCCCTATTTACTAAAGGAGGTTCTCAGCTTGTTCTATCACCAGCAGAGGTCTCTACTTCCCCAGCCTGTACTACTAGTGGAGGTTGGGCCAAAGGAGGTTCTCACCCCAGCCTTGTACCACTAGCGGAGGTCACCAGCCGAGGTCCCCAGCCTGTCCTATCACCAGCCGAGGTCCTCAGCCTGTCCCATCACCAGCAGAGGTCCCCACCCTGTTCTGTACCACTAGCGGAGGTCACCAGCCGAGGTCCCCAGCCTGTTCTATGTCACCAGCCGAGGTCCTCAGCCTGTCTCATCACCAGCCGAGGTCCCCAGCCTGTTCTATGTCACCAGTCGAGGTCCTCAGCCTGTCCTATTACCATCAGCTGTGGTCCAAGCCTGTTCCGTGTCACCAGTCGATATATCAGTCTGCTGGTGACACTGATCCTCCCTCGCCTTCACCAGGACATTGACCTCGTCTCATCAGAACCGACCGTCAGGCTGGTGACCGTGAACAGCATCTGGTGACTGCAGGGAACATCATGGGTGACTTTCAATGAACTTCCTGGTGACCGATGGTGATTCCTCGTAACTACCAGTAGGTCTTGGTGACTGTCGCTATCTCCTGGTGACTGTTAGTGTCTCCTGGTGATTCACAGTACTGTAATCCCTAAGGTGTACTATTTTTTTTCCTCTGGCGGCGTCTGGCAACCGTCACGAAAATGGATAGAAAATACAAATGAAAAAGAAAAGAGAAACGAATGAATGTAACATAAGATAAATGACAAAAACATGGAATAGAGATGAAGCAAAGAAACTAAAGAATGGAGAGAGAGAGAGAGAGAGAGAGAGAGAGAGAGAGAGAGAGAGAGAGAGAGAGAGAGAGAGAGAGAGAGAGAGAGAGAGAGCATATTGGAATAAAAGTAGCTACATACGCAAACAAGTTATGAACCAGACAGACAGGCAGACTAATTGCCTAATAGACTATGTAACTAAATTCACAGCCAATTAGGACCCACAGTAAACAAACGGGGCGAGATAGTGCTATACCCTATCCCAACACGCCATCTTTCATACACCTAAAATTCCCTTCACTGGTGGGGGGTGGAGAGGGAGGGGGATACAGTGCTATAATACGCTCGTCGATAGAGTCGGAAATCCATGGTATATCCTAAGGAATTTTGGCCCATATGTGATAGGTATTGATGTGTCTTTCGTAGGTTAGAGGATTCAGGATGTTGTTGGTATCCTGAAGGTGCCGGATCTAAGGGTAGGGGGAGGAGGGGGGTGGGAGGGAGAGGAAGGCAAGGGGGGATGACAGGGATGTAGAGATGATATCCTACCTCCTCACTCTCCTCTCGTATCTCTTCCCTCTCCCCTCACTCCCCTCTCTCTTCCCTCTCATCCCTCACCCCCCCTCTCTCTTCCCTCCCTCTCTCTTCCTCTCCCCTCCTCCCCTCTCTTCCCTCTCCCCTCTCTTCCCTCAGCTCTCACCCCTCTCTCTTCCCTCTTCCCTCCTCCCCCTCTCTCTTCCCTCTCCCCCCTCCTCCCCCTCTCCCCCTCACTCCCCCTCTCTCTTCCCTCTCATCCCTCACCCCCTTCCCCCTCAACTAAAGAATCGTAATGTTGCTATAGTGATTAAGTATCCATGTGTAAATACATATATACGTTACATGTATATACCACAACATACATATACAGTGCAGTATACATGTAGATATGAACAACGTGTAATGTGTAGTGTAGTGTAGTGTAGTGTAGTGTAGTGTAGTGTAGTGTAGTGTGGCAGTGTAGTGTTGTGTAGTGTAGTGTAGTGTAGTGTAGTGTAGTGTAGTGTAGTGTTGTGTAGTGTTGTGTTGTGTAATTTGTGTAGTGTAGTCAACAGTGTTGTGTAGTGTGAGTGTAGTGTAGTGTTGTGTAGTGTAGTGTGAGGTGTAGTGTAATTAGCCAGTGTTGTGTAGTGTAGTGTAGTGTGGTGTAGTGTAGTGTGGTGTAGTGTGGTGTAGTGTAGTGTAGTGTAGTGTTGTGTAGTGTAGTGTTGGTGTGTAGTGTAGTGTAGTGTTGTGTAGTGTAGTGTTGGTGTGTAGTGTAGTGTAGTGTTGTGTAGTGTAGTGTTGGTGTGTAGTGTAGTGTAGTGTAGTGTAGTGTAGTGTAGTGTAGTGTTGTGTAGTGTGTAGTGTTGTGTAGTGTTGATGTGTATTGTAGTGTAGTGTAGTGTTATGTAGTATAGTGTAGTGTTGTGTAGTGTGTAGTGTTGGTGTGTAGTGTAGGAGTGTGTGTATAGTGTAGTGTAGTGTTGGAGTGTGTATAGTGTCAGTGTGTAGTGTAGTGTTGGCGTGTGTAGTGTCAGTGTATGTGTAGTGTAATGTAGTGTAGTATTGTGTTGTGTAGTGTAGTGTAGGTGTAGTGTAGTGTAGTGTTGTGTTGTGTAGTGTTGTGTAGTGTAGTGTTGTGTTGTGTGTAGTGTAGTGTAGTGTGTGTAGTGTGGTGTAGTGTAGTGTAGTGTTGTGTTGTGGTGTAGTGTGGTGTTGTGTTAGTGTAGTGTAGTGTGTGTAGTGTAGTGTTGTGTTGTGTGTGTGGTTGTGTAGTGTGTAGTGTTGTGTAGTGGTGTAGTGTTGTGTGGTGTAGTGTAGGGTAGTGTAGTGTTGTGTAGTGTAGTGTTGTGTTGTGTTGTGTAGTGTAGTGTTGTGTTGTGTAGTGTAGTGTTGTGTAGTGTTGTGGTGTAGTGTTGTGTTGTGTTGTGTAGTGTAGTGTTGTGTTGTAGTGTTGTGTAGTGGTGTTGTGTTGTGTTGAGTGTAGTGTAGTGTTGTGTAGTGTTGTGTTGTGTTGTGTGTGTTGTGTAGTGTAGTGTTGTGTTGTGTTGTGTAGTGTAGTGTTGTGTTGTAGTGTTGTGTAGTGTAGTGTTGTGTTGTGTAGTGTAGTGTAGTGTAGTGTTGTGTAGTGTTGGTGTGTGTAGTGTTGTGTGTGTAGTGTAGTGTTGTGTAGTGTAGTGTAGTGTAGTGTAGTGTAGTGTGTAGTGTTGTGTCAGATGCTTTCGTGATAAGAGATGACAGTTATCGATAAATGTAATTATGGAGATCTGGACCTTGGCTGTGAAGGGCTCTTCACCTGAAGGGTCTTGATACTACATCTCTATTAACTACATAAAAT